TTTGACATGATGTTTCCATGTTACATTCATACATTGGTGTTTTTCTTCACACTAACAGGTAATGTTACAGGGCATGGGCAGTATGTCACTATGGTTTAAAGGTGTGTATATAAGTGTGTAAACTGTTATGTGTGCTTTAGAGATGTTTATGTTTCGGCTTTTCTCTGTAATAAGCATGATCCAATCGAATGTGAAACTGCAGGATGAAGTTCAGAACAAACTCCCTCACAGGGACATCATGTTTATCTTCTCTCATATTACATTTAATATCACAAAATACATACTCAACCCAAAACACACTCTTATTAGTTTGGAGATACTGATTTCAAGTAAAGACCATTTGGTCACAGACCTTTTATATCTACTTATTACATAAAGTAGATTTTAGTATGATATCAATGTGAGTCGTTTATAGTATTTGAAACTGGAAAGCAAATTCATAACTCAAGTTAGGCAAGTTAGACCCATGGTTTTGTTGCTGCTGCTTTTATGGAAATACAACAATTATAAATGATTTGATTGAACTTCCAAACTCCATTGGATCTGCAGAGTCCCTCTGCACCTTTGATGGTTTTTGTTTGATAACAATGACTTACAAGATGGTTTCTATACTGATTAGAGCTCTCAAGAACTGCCCTCAATGTTGTGCTTTGCCTCTGGTCACTTCCTGTCAGCACCTGTGTGTCCAATCGGACTCAAAGCTGATTGTTTGCTCTTACTCACATTGTTCCCTTTTTTTCTAGATCCTTGCTTGTGTTGTACTTACTCTCTGATGTACGTCGCTTTGGATACACAATTCCTTGGTTATGTGCATTATGTTAAAAAGACCGACTTTTACATCCATACATTCATACTCATGCAAAAGTCATTAACAAACTGAGGCTTTGTTTGCTAGAGGTGGGGAAAAAATCGTTTCATGTAAAAAGTTTGATTCTTATCTATTAAATTGATTCATAACTTCCAAAAATCGACTAGCTCTTTAACTCAGTAGAATGACACATGGAGCAACAAGAAATTCACTCAGTCTCACAGATGACTGGAGTAGATCCTGAAGTATGTACTAATTCAAAAATAGACTTTGAATGATGAATCCAGAATAATTTTGAATCGAAAATAGATTCTGAATCGAATCGTGATCCCAAGAATCGAAATGGAATCGTGAGACACCCAAAGATTCCCAGCTCTACTTTGTGCAGATGTAACAGAAATACAAAGTTAATGGCATCATAAATGTAAAGTGATCTTCCTGTCAGTTGACTGATGACGTCAACTGTGAAATCATCACCATGCAGTAACCAGTCAACCGCCTCACATTTATGTCAGTTACTTTCCATAGATTACCGTATCTCCCTGAGCAAAGGTCTCATTGTAACATGATGGGAACCAGGAAGTGGTAAAGTGACCCTGCCACATCGAACACTTCTAACCTTTCACTGACTGTTTCAAAGCAGCAGCACGGGCAGAGCTGCCATGCTGCTTTGTTGAATCACATTAAACTTGCATCACATCTGCATGTGCTGGCCGTGAGACAGGCTGATAAAATGTACCTTTAAAATATTAATCAACAGCCCAGTTCTCTTTATTTACCACACAGACTGTTTGAAATCACACAAACTATTTGCCGAGCAGCACAGTCATGAGTTAGCAGGTGTAAACTTACTGTATAAGGAGGGGTGGGCAGGGAGATTTTGGAGATAACCTTAAGAAGGTGACCACTAGTCCTGTGATTGACGTGAGAGATTTGAGTCTGCACCACCACAGAGTTTTTCTCGGTTAAGGGGCTGCAAATCGGGAACGGTCGGGGGAGTGGGACGCGGGATTCCACCTCGTACACGTCCTGGTCCTCCCCTTCCACCCACGTGGTGCTCTGCAGGCTTGAGTTCCAGTATGAGCGGTAGGAATCCATGGTAAAGGATGGATGGATAAATAAAAGAACTTTGGTTTGTTATGTCTGAGCTGCTTTTCTGGATTCATCAAAAGGAGTTTTCAGTTTGTCATTATCTGCAGGCTGAGATAGCGCAAATGAGCATGAAGTCCGGTGGGGAAAGAAGCAGTAGGTAGTTGTGGACGGCTCCAAGCAACAGTTTCTATGTGTTCTCCACACACACAGGGTGAGTAAACAACATCTGAAGAGGGTGACATTCACGTTATCTCAATCAGTTTGCTCATTGTGGAGGCAGAAGAACTTCCAGGTAGATATTGAAAACCAGAAAAGAGGTGAGAAAATTCTCTAGTCCTAGCAAAAAGTGTCATCCTCGGCAGCAGGTGGAAGTCCCATCGGGGTCTGACGGATTAAAAAACATTCCTGAACATGACCACAGCAGGTATGTAAACACAAAGACAGACATTTCTTCTTCTTCTCCTCTTCGAAGATCACCAACGCTCTGTCTGTCTCGCTGTTCTCACTGACCTTCTTTCTTCAGAGTGAAACCGTATCATCCCGCTCTGTGGAGCTCACACCCCCACGTCTGTTCTGGCTTGCTCTCTCCTCTCTCTCTCTCTCTCTCTCTCTCTACCTACTCTCCCTGCTCTCTCTCTCTTTCTCTCTGGAGATTCATTAACAACACTACGATGCCGTAGCAACCCCCGACCTGCAGAGAACCCCCCCCAGGGGCCCCTTTCAACTGTTTGGTCCAAGCCGCAGCCGTGTGCAGTAAATGAAACTCAGCACCGGGATCATTCACTTCTTCCTCTTTACTTCCTTCTTGTACGTCTGTCATTCCTTCTCCACGCATGCTCCCAGGCTTGCTCCATAATATTACCCACTGAAGCCAGATCTCTCTTCAATGGGGAGGTGTTCTTACCCCAGGCTGGCAACTGTCACTCGGTTACACTTTACCCAAGTGCTTGAGAGGGGGAAAAAAAACTAAAATCGTAAAAAAGGCAGTTTTTCCACCGCTGAAGACTGGAGGATATCTCTCTCACTTCCTACATCGATCGCTCAGAGCAGGATACTGTTCAGCAGAAGTGGGAGGGCAGCAGGTGTGGCTCTAATCATAAAAGCCAGTGAGCCAGGTAGGTTTGTGAATAGATCACACGCTCTGTCTATACACACAAATAACCCACAGACAACACACGCCCTGCCCACAGAAAGTTGTCAAACCAGATTACCTCTCTATGTAGCCGCAAAAGAAAAAAAGAAGAAGAAGCAATTAAGGTGTTGTGACTCGCTGCCTATTGGTCCCACCTACAGTCTCTGTTTGGCATGTCAGCTGTCACACTGACTGCACACCAACAATTTCAACCTCTCACCGGCAGATAAAGGGAGAGTGAGCAAGAAAACACCTTCAGCAGGCAAATTATTTACAGCAGCAGGTTGACAAAGACACTTAACATTCCTGAGCGGCTTGTTACATCAATCTCTGTTGACCACACCGCTTCACAGACAAGACTAATGGATAACAGATCAATAGCAGCAAGACGATCATTGAGGAAACCATTAGGGCCGTCGCTGATTGAGAGTTTATTGGGCTGTTAATTTTGGACGCATGGAGGGGATGTAAAATGTGTAACATGTAAATCTGCTTGTAAAACCAGAATGAGTCTGTAATCTGCAACAAAAAGATTATTTTGATATTTGAGTAGCTTTTTTTTTTTTTCCACTTATTCTGGCCCATAAAATGCCAGATAATAAGTGTCACAATTTCATGGAAAACATGTGTTCATACATATTTTTGTTCCAACTGCAGCGCAAAACAGTTTTTTTTCAGAGCACATAAATTGTATATATATTTTTTTTACATTACCAGACCTGGACCTAGAAGATTTTAAAGTTATTTGGGCAATGAAAAAGTAGTTTAACCAATTATAACATTGTAGATATATCATCCTCTCAGCTCCTAGTTTTTCACATTTTTTTTTATCATGACTCTATGGTCAATGAATGTAAAGAAAATAACTTGTAGTGCAAAAGGCTTTGAACAAAAATATAAAATTGAAAAAAAAAGATAAACCAAATAAATTGGATTAATGATATAAAAACAATTGGGTGAAGAGCAATTTCACAGACGAAATAAAAAAACATTTCAATAGATGAAAACATGATGTTAAAACAACATGCACTGTCTGACGGAGATATTTCTTTAAATCTATTTTTAGATCGCCAAGATAAAATCCATCAGAGCGTGAGTAACGCATGAATTTCAGCCGAGGGGAAGATGTGCTGTGCAGTGAGTTACTGTAACACACTCGCTGGCCTAGTTAAACTGGCCCCGTCTCTGCGGGCTGACACCGGACACAGCGGGCGCTCTCTACATGCAAGGCCTCGGGAGGGGGGGGGGGGGACCGGACTCTGATAGGCTGATCGAGCAAACAAAAGCTCAGTGTAAATACCGCTCGTATCTATAGGCAACCAGTGGGAATGAGGCAGCTCTTTTGTGTGTGAATTCTAGACAGGCCAACTTTGTTGCCGGCCACATTCTGCAGTCTCATCCTCATTGTGTCTCCATGAACAGGCGTAGAAACCCACAGAGGGGGTTTACAGTGTCAAGTGTGGCTATTTAAATGTTTTGACAAAGCCTAAATGTGTCACCACCACAGTGTTCTGTTTAGTTGTTACTTTGAGGCACGCACATACAGAGAGAGGTGTGTTCATGAAGAACGCCACAGAAATCGGAATCTTTTACAAAAAAGAGCCGTCACATTCTATTTGTTGTCCACACACTATGACACCGACAAGTTTATTTTAAATACCTTACTGCTTTCAACCCATTTTACCTAAAAGGATTTTTAACGCGATGTTAAAACATTAGATATTAAATGTTTGGTATCAAACTTCCAGGAACAATATTTTCAAACCCTGGTTCTCTGAGAAAAGTGTTCCTAATAAAAGTAAAACCAAAACATGATGCATTTTTTAGTTTTCACCTGGTTGCTTGTGTCTGTGATCGCTATCAACATCTTCTTCAGAGCCGTCTGGAGTCGACTGCTGATACCCATCAGGTATTCCTCGTTCTCCAGCTGAGTTCCCGCCCCCAACAGCAGGCTGTCAATCATCTGCTGGGACAGCTCCAGACCCTCGTCAGTCTCCGTCTCCCCGGACCACAAACTCACATCCTCTGCACCGGTCAGAGAACTTCCTGGTGAGTGACCTGGTATGACCAAAGGAACAGATGAAAGATAACATTGTCATCATTTTTTGAATAACCAGTCTCATATAACCTTCTTGACAGGTTTGCAGTTGAATGTGTAAAATATTTGCTCTAATTCGAAAATGCTGTGAGAAAACAATCATGCACGTTAAAAGCTGCTAGAACAGTAAATATTTAATCCTCACATAAAGAACGAGTTTAGCAGCAGTTTACTTTGATGCATTTATATTCAAAACAGAATGCAGTGCAGTGCTGAACATAAATCCATCATGACAGCGTAGGCACATGCATCGTCAGGATCAAATGAGTACACGCTCACATGACTGAGCCTCTAGGCTAGTTTATGTGACGTCATCTGTATATAATTTGTATCATCACGTTCTCATTGCTGGAGGACTATTATGATAGCAGGAAGTTGCAGAATAAGTCTGTTATGATGCAGTTTCATTTCATTTTAATTTTGTTCTTTTTAAGCAGTACAATGTAGATGAATACTTTCTTTTCATTTTGGCATTTACAAAGAATAAAAGGTGCAGGTTTTGAAAAAATATAAAAAATATAAGAAAACACTTTTTTTAAATTGAAACAACGCTGAAGTTATGCTGTCTGCAAAACTAGGTACAATATTTAATTATTTGCAGCAGAATTTAGGGGACTCCAACCACAATTTTGTTGTTCATAATGTAACAATAACAAATGACATATTTTAGCAGAATTTTATCAGGAAAACTCAGATAATTGGGCAATTCTTTTGAAACATGAGAATTTAGCAGCACTAAAATGAGCCCTGAAGTTAAGTCCCTTTAAACACCTACTGTCCGTGATTCTCTTCATGTGCTTTACAGTTCTGGACAAACACTGAAAATCTGCTACAATCATGTAACTATATTTAGTCTGCAGCAAGAAAATGTGCTGGTGTTTACTAAGTGTGAAGAGTCAGGGTGACTGAGATATCATTATGAACCCTAATTTAAGATTCTGTAAACACAACACAGAAACCATCAAGCCAGAATGACACCAGCACAATACAGACTTCCCGTATCCATCGCACAACTTCAGATTTAGGTTTCACTTCAACAAAACGAGTAAAGAGCCTGATGACATATAAGTCCATTGATCCACAACCCTGCCAGTTAGCCGTACTTTAGTATACTTCAGTTTAGCTACTGATGTAGGTAGCTATGGTTTTACTACAATCAGCTTGTGAACATGAAACTTTATTGTGTTCAGCTCTCATGGATTCCTTATCTTATTGAAGCATTCAGAGGAAGGACAAATCTGATGTTTTTTCTGACATCTGAATGGAAGTACAGCCTGTGTCCATGCTACTGTTTGCATGTGATCATGTTTCATTTATGCATGACAACTGTGCAAACTAATACTCTACTCCATAAAAATAAAGATTAGGATTCTGATCATGGCACCAAAGACTGTAAATCCCCCACTTAGATGTAATGGAGTACCTGTGCATGCTCTTACACTGTTTAGGTTGAAGGTCTCCCTCCCTCCCACTAACTTTCAACATCTGGGGCATTATATGTAAGCATGCTGTAGCTTAGACCTCACTTGCCTGCAGAATGAGGTCTCATAGCTCTCTGTGGGGGGGAGAGCGGCGGTGAGCCCTGCTGCCCTCCACTGGAGGCGTCTCGCAGACTTTTCATGTGCAGGCCAATCGTTTCTTCAGCCGCTGCCGTAGTTTTCAGGACGTCAACAAGAACCTGACTGAGTGTCTCGTTTGCCTTATGCAGGACGTTTCTGAAAGCAGCAAGAAACGTAAGTTTAAGAGAAATAGGAAGAGGAAAAGTTTCTTCATTCAAATCACAATATTTAAAATGGCAAAAAAAAAGCCTTTAGGACAATTTCAAAATATCTGTCCAACTTACAAAGACCATGCACTAAATATTGAGTGTACTTTGATTAAAATAAATTCATTCAAGGTTATCATGACAGAAACACAAAATGTAAGAATGTCCCTCTTTTATAAAGCATGTCTCTAACTTAGTAAAAACAAAATTTCTGTCGATACCTTTCAGTTTCTTTATCGGGATACTCTCCATCATTCCAGGTGGACACTCTGCTTCCTGCCGCCTGCTTTCCTCTCGCCCCTCCTGGATCTTCTTCTTCAACTTCTTCTTCTTCTTCTTGGGTCCTCAAGGTCTGGACGGGCAGCAGAGAGAACACAGACAGAAGCCCCGTCATTGCAAAGTAGCAGTTGGGTAAAAGACTGCTGAAAACTCTAAACAGGAGACGACAGAGGGACTGAATGAGTGACCATTAGAAAAAGTGGATTCAAATAAGGCGACGCGTAAACACACACTGCTCGTTTGTGAGTGCACACAGACACACACAAACACAAAGACACACTTCTCACTCCCTTGGAGCCCAGAGGAAACACTACTATCTTTGTGCTGCTATGGCAACAGGTGCACCTGAGGCACAGAGACATGCACAAGCAACAGCTCCCCCTGCTGGAGGAACAGCAGAAACGCAGGTTTGTTTCTTAGGTCAAATCAATACCAGACATCACACAGAGCAGCAGACTGAGGATGTTTCTATTGCATGTTCCTTTATCATAGTAAGGCATGCAATTTACTGAAAATTAAAAACAGCAATAAAAAGAATGTAGGCATATACAGCAGAGCACTAGGGTTTAAAAATCTAAATCTGAACAATCATCACCTGATGTGTCATTCATTCAAAAATCTTCTTTTAGTTTTTTGGTAAACTTGAGAATTTGAATCTACAATATCAAAAAAAAAAAAAAAAAGAACAATTGACTTCATTCCAAAAAAGTGTAAATATTCTGCTTGAGGCGTCGTAGATTCACAACAAACTTAAGAACTTTGTACTGAATCACCTCCGAGTGTGTGTTGGAGAAATTCATCTTACAGAGACAAGAGAAGCCGACAGCCTCCCCTGCTATCACACGGTCAAAGTTTAATCATGCAGTAAACGCTTAGTGAAAGCTCAGCAGGCTCCGGGATTAGCTATTCAAGACACTACAAGTGATATAAAAAATAAAGAAATGATCTTAAATCAATGTGAGGGAAACAGTTCATGCAGAGCGGATAGATGAGATACTATGAAGGATGTTAAAGTCCATTCAATGTTACTTTTTGACAATAAAAGATAAACTTGTTCCCTGTGAAGTCGGACTGACAAAAATTTGAATGTCGTCAGTGGTTGAGTTTGATAACTTAAAGTGTTGTTACATGGAAGTCCTTTACATACAGTAAGTAAGACATAGAGGAGAGGATATTTAGTTAAATACTGGTTACATGAGAGGTTAGAACCACTGTGCACATTTGAAGATCCAGTGGGTTAGTTGCTGAATACAGGTCTAACAAGAATAAAAGTCTGTCTCTGCAATCACAAGATCAAACTGCCTTCACCACAATAATAGTTGAAGTAAACTCAAACAAATACTCTCATTGTAACCTTGTGTTTTTTTATAAAGTCCATAAATAAATGGAAGAGGGTCAAAGCTGTAGAAAAACATTCATATTGGCTTAAGCATACACAATCAATAATCCATGCAGCACCTGCATTGCGACAAAGTGAATCCTAAAATGAATGACACAGCAGAAATGAATTCTCTCAGAAGACATTGTTATTATATGAAGTGGTGAAAAAGAGGGAGATCAAAACAACACCTGACATGTTACAGTAGAGAGAAACAGAGAGGGAGTGAAACACCGACCTGCTGGGGTCCCGGTTTGTTTTTCTGCAGCTCCTCCTTTAACTTTCTGATCTCAGCGTTCTTCTCCATCAGCTCCCTCTCCAGCCGCTCCTTCTCCAACTCGTGCAGCCAGCCGGGAGAACATATGGGAGTCTGCTCGTCGGTGTCCTCGACCTCCTCTTCATCCAACTGGGTCTGCATGGAGGTGTTGGTCTGACAGGCACTCTTGTTGATTCGGGCCATCTCGGTCTGCTGTGCAAACTCCACAGACATCTGCACTATGACCTGTGAGAAGACGCCGATCGGAGGAAGATTTAACTTTCTCACCAGGGACAGATAGTGCTTAAACAAAGTTATCATCAATTATAGGATGCAAAATGATTCTCTATGTTAGATAACTAAATGTAAGTATCTAGGGCTGCATCTCAGGAGTATTTTTAAATATATATTATTCTGCTGTTTATTTTCAAAGTCAGTTGTTTAGTTTATTTTTAAAGCAGCTGACAAATGTGATGACTAATATAAAGCCCTGGAAACATTTTAAAACATCTTTTTTTGTCCACCCTGCAGGCCACAACCCAAGAATATTCAGTTTATGATCACACAAGACTGAGATAAACAAACTTTCATGTTGATAAGCTACAAGCAGCCAATTGTGGACACTCCAATATTTTTTTGTTGGACTAGATTCTCTTGTAAATGCAGCAACTGCCAACTGTTCCCAGTTTTACTGATAAGGACTACACACATGAATAAAAAAAAACATGACCACCTACCTTGGCGACTTCCTCCTCCACTCTCTCCCAGTCTTGTTTCTCTTCCAGCGCAGCGGCCCCGAGGCTCTCAGTGGAGCTTCCTGCTCCGTTCACACCATGAACACCCTGCTCCCTCTCTCCTCTCTCTCCCGAACGCTCCTCTCTTTTCGGCTCCTCTTCCTTCTCTTCTCTCAGTCTCCTCAGCTCCCTGCTGTGCTGCTCTTTGAGAGCGGCTACTTCCTGGATGTACTTGTGGTAGAGAGCTTTCCTCAGCGCTTGTAGCTGTGCTGTCAGGCCTGCAGGCTGGCCAGGCCAGCGTAACTCTGCACCAACCTGGGATAACTCCTCCTCGGACCGGTCCTGCAAAGAGCGAGGAAAGGAAGGAAGAAAGGTGAGTTACAAGTTTTAAACTTATGAACCAGATAGCAGCAGCGTCAGTCTGTTAAAGTAAGGCAGCAAAGATATGAAGTTACGTAAAAAAAAAAAAAAAAAACCCTGATAACCGTTCCTGAAATAATCATGCTGAAGTTCCCCGAACCACCCTTCAGCCACAATCAAATACACAGCTTTTGTTCTCTTCAGCTCCCCCAGGGATGAGAAAGTGATAAGGGATCTCTTGCATTGCAGCTACATTTTCCGCGAGCACACTACCACTCTGTCTTGTGATGAATCCCTGTCTTGTCTGTCTCATGGATACTCAGCTGCTTCAGTACCACTCGCCTCAAGCTTCACATTTCCAAACCAAACATGCCCAGTTTTTTTTTTTGTTTCTCTACCGTTTTTGCTCCTGTTGTCAATCTTCGTCCCTCTTATCTTCCTCTCGAATCTCTGCATGAGGGTGTGAGAGTCACAACCACACGAGCTGAGGGAACTTTGAGGTCGGAGGGAGAGATAGACTAAGACATGATGGAAGTTGGAGTGACGTGAGTGAGAGAAAAGCTTTAAATGGAGCGCAGCTCATTCATGCAAGATAGAGTCCTCCTTTTAATGCAGCAGCAAAAGACAAGAGTACACCCACTAGTTACAAGTTAAAAAGGCAGGTTATGTAACGTCCATCCCTTTTTAATCGTTAAAGATATAAGACCGTTCATGATGAAAGCTGAGGGGATTTAGGGCACGTTTTAGCCTGAAGGCTGCGGCTGCCCCCCCCCGCCCACTCTCACTGTCAGAGTCTTAATGCATTTACATGTTTCAGCTCGTAGTAAGATGTGATGCATGTGACACGGAAGATTTAGAGGGTAAAATGTAACAGCCAAACCTTTGCTGGCTCCTCCCTGTGTCCCTCCATCCTCTGCGAGCTTGACTCAGGGGCGCTGGAGAGGCAGAGAGGAAGAAAAGAGATGTCAAAATGTATTATTTAATGTACTCTCACACTTAAAGAAAGCTTAAATGGTAGGACACAACTTCTTATAACTATTTTATAATAAGTATTTATATAATTAATCATAAATGTTTACTATAATGCGAATGACTCAAAGGTACCCGATGCATTTTGGTTGCACATGCACATTTTAACAGCCATGATGCAGCTGAGAATATTGACGAGACAAAGTTCAAATGATAGTTTGAGTTCAAAGTAGACTGGATTTTTGTTTCCATCCATCCATTCATCCATCTATCCATCCATCCATCTGCATATCTTCATTCAACATTTAAGTGTTTATGTAAGAGCCAGACATAGACAAGTAAAAGAGGAGTCTTTTGGCATTTGAAAACCACTTCAGAGAACATATTTACTGGCTCAAACAGTGGAGGGCAGCAGCATCACAGTTTCCATAGCGATGGAAGGACTCGAGGTCGAGCTCACTTATAGTAATACAGTTTGTTCTGAGAACAAACTACAATTGATTTAAAGTTATGACATTTATATTAATTCACATTTTCCTAAACTAACACACTCACATAAGTGTTCTTTTATTGAGTCTCCTTTGTTTCTCATGTATCTGCTGGTTTCACAGCCGCAGAGTAAAATACAGGAACACGACGACGAGCTTTGTTAAAAATCTTTCCTCAAGGTCAAAGACATCTTGACTGTTTCTGCACTAAGTAGAACGTTCAGAATGCTGTAAGTAGTTTTTTCTTTTGGGGAGATTTGTGCAGCTGAACTCTCAGTTGGAGTTTTGCAATAAAGGAGGTTGTTTGGTTTGCGGTGATTGTGTAACTAAAAACTCTAAATTCTCTGTAGCTTTCCTGCTTCTTGCAGACTGATCCCTTTAGGACTGATCCTTGATCCCTTAATCAAGACTGATCCTTTTATTGGGTTATCCATTGTGTTTATTTTTCAGTCTACCTATTCATCAGTATTAAAGTCTGATGATCTAAGTGCATACTTTGGCTAAGTGCTATTTATTTGCATATACTGTATGTGCAAGGCACTTTAATCCAGTTGCCGCGACTGGTATTCATAAATATGTTGGAATGATCGTCGTATGTTGAGCGATCTCCAAATACATTATTCAAAACATTCTTTTATTTTTTTACTTTTAAAATATTTTTATACTGTTTTATTTTTTATATTCAGGTCTAATTACACTTTTTTTTCCTCAACTGTTTATAGGTTCTTGTTTAAATCTCACATATATTTTTTATCCCTGCACGGGTTATGTACATTTCTTGTATAAGTCTATTTTTAATTGCACAGTTTAAGTTTGATTCATCTAGAGGTATTCTTTAAATCTTTTTTTAATATATATGTATGGGAGGGGGGGGGGCCTCGGTTTTGTGGTTGATTTGTAACATATGTTTCATGTCATGTACGTCATTTTTAATCTGCTACTGGATGCTTTGAATTTCCCTCGGGATCAATAAAGTATCTATTTATCTTATACAGTTCAACATTAACAACAGACGTCTACATTCATTATTATTTTGGCACTCTGCTCGATCACAGTTTAAACTTTAGTGTGGGGTGATACGCAGGTTCACCCACGCTCTGATGAACGTCGTCTCTTAGTGGAAACTACTTCAGAAACTTGCCATCAGTCCACGTACTGGTTGACGCATGCTTAAAAAGGTCACATGCTTCTCTTTTCTACTCAGCACTTCAGAGATTAAATTATCGTTGCCCCTCAAAACGCCACTTTTTTTTTAAAGGTTAGTGGGCTTAACTAAAGGCATTTATTATGCTTTAAATAACCTGGTGAATAATTCATCAGTCGAGGGTTTGTTGGCATGTTCACTGAACTGGGTCTAGTGGCTTTCCAAGTGTTGCACAGGATCTACAGACCGGCTTTTATTAGCGGTTATGACATCATTTAACTCAGTGTGCTGCGGTTTTAATACGAAGACTTTATCGATCAATCGATGAAGCTTGTGAAGAGTGACTCTAAACACGAGTGCTGTGTAGGTGACAAGAGTTCCAGTGCTTTTTCTGCTTTAAAAGTAATTTGCCATCATAGCTGTGACATTCCTAAAATAAAACGGGGCCAAGCGTAAATTACAAAATGTTCTGTCTGACAAAAAATTGGCTTCACTGGAGCTTATTTGAGTATATATAGTTTTTCTTTATAATGTCATCCCAAATTCAGATATTGTTACATTTTCTGTTGAATTAAAAAGGGTTTAATATCTTTCTACAAAGACATTTCAATTGCCAAGACTGGATATATTCAATATGAGTAAATATTACGATGTAGCCTGTCATGTGTTTCCACAGCGTCCTCACCTGAAGTGGATGTCGGTCCCCGTGACCTCCTGCAGTCGCTGCTGCAGCACCAAGATCTCAGTGAGGTACCGCTCCTCGGTCTCTGTGGCCTGCTGCTGGTAGTGAGCTCTGAGACGCTCCACTTCCTGTCTGTGACTCTCCTCCAGCTGGAGCTGCTTCTTCTGCTCCTCTGCCTTCAGCCTTTGCACTTCCTGGCTCAGGCTGGTAGATGGTGCAGCAGCACGCTCCTCCAGATCTGGATAGAGAGATACGGGAGGAGAAACGTGATTACATCTTGGCTTAACTGGAGATTGTTCAAAAGCACAATCAATTACATGAAACTGTTCATGCTTGAGGGGAAAACAGATAATTGACAAATGACAGGAGCAAGAAAGAGCTGAACAGAGAGCCAACAACAAAAAATGTCTGCCTCTTTGTTGACAGGTTAGCAGGTACATTTCATTCAGACTTCCATCTTACATCTAGATGAATACATGAATAACAAAAATCAAAGTAAGGGACTTATGTGCTTATACTCTGCCTTTCACACCAGTGAAAGCACAAACTGAAGGCAGATACATGGAATAATTATTTGACATGAACATACAGTAACCTTGGTGCTGTAACATTTAACCATGCACAAGTCCCAGATGCACTGCTCTTAGAGTTTATAGCAAAAAGCTAATTTGCAGCACCTGTCCACAGGAGCCGTTTATAATAAAATGAAAGGCTTCAGGTTTAATAGTAACCTC